ATTGTGGGTATGTCTACTTTATTATTTTAACCAGGGTATTTTATTCAGGTAAAGGTGATATATCACATACATAAGTACGACATATAAAAGAGAAAACAATTTTATCACATAAGAGTTTGATTAGAATCCAGTTCAATGATGTTCAAACTGAAATTAGAATCAAGTTAAAACATTCAAATTTAGCCTTTGCCTGGGATAACCATTAAAGCCTCCATAGGCTTATTTCCAATGGGGTCCCCAACAAAATAAAAAAGGGGAACTTGATACAGTCGGAGATCAATTATAGGTAGCAGCCATGAGTATGATATTGATATGACAGACTATGCACAGAATATGTATTCATGATCAGTACAAAATGAATTTATTGTGATTTCTTTTCCGATTCATTCAGATTTACAAAGTTTTTCTTAATGAAAATATCAAAATTTACATTTCCTTCCTTACAACCACGAAAAATAAATGTATTTAGACAATGTACTTGTTTACATTTTAGAAAATCACCAGTTTGTTTGCCCAGGAGATTGCTCATCAAGTGATGTCACAGCTACCAGACGTGGCAGTTATGGACAAAAAGACATTCCAGGTAAGCATGACATGTTTAGCACTAGGAACCTGATCTCCCAAGGGGGACAACTCTTTGCATTGTTACCACAAGATTCCAGGTAGGGCTAAGGCCACCCAATCATTTTAATATGTGTTTCATTGTCACACTAAATTAAACAATGAATCCACAACATTTTATACCAGAGAAAATAACAACTAAGCTGACTAGAACAATATCTGGGAAGAAAAATTTCCAAGTTTGAATATCAGGATTTTCTTGAGATAATCCTCTTCACAGGGACATTTTGTGAAAACATAGGTCTAAGTTCAAGTCAGAGTCAAAACTAAAGTCTTTTCATACAGGATTCTGTAGCAAGTGTTTACTGGGATTTAACCCTTTCAGCACTGTAAACCATAATGGACTCATCCAGATAAATTTATGGTAGAGTTTATAGAAGTTACCTAGGGGTGAAAGTATTAAACACTAGAGAAAATAGCACAAAAATAAAGGCCAAATGTTATCTTTACTGTATATATAGACATGAAAAGAAAAGAAAATTTTTACTTAGTTGCTATTTTCAAATATATTTGATTAAATAATCTGTGGATACAGACAATGACATTTCACAATACAGAACGTAACAATATTTCTTGTAACAGTGGACCACACATTAATTGATTTGTGTAGTGCCCGATACTTCTTGTAATAGTGGACCACACATTAATTGATTTGTGTAGTACCTGATACATCTTGTAACAGTGGACCACACATTAATTGATTTGTGTAGTACCTGATACTTCTTGTAACAGTGGACCACACATTAATTGATTTGTCTAGTACCTGATGCTTCTTACAATAGTGGACCACACATTTATTGATTTGTGTAGTACCCAATACTTCTTGTAACAGTGGACCACACATTAATTGATTTGTGTAGTACCCGATACTTCTTGTAACAGTGGACCACACATTAATTGATTTGTGTAGTACCTGATACTTCTTGTAACAGTGGACCACACATTAATTGATTTGTCTAGTACCTGATACTTCTTGTAACAGTGGACCACACATTAATTGATTTGTGTAGTACCTGATACTTCTTGTAACAGTGGACCACACATTAATTGATTTGTGTAGTACCTGATACTTCTTGTAACAGTGGACCACACATTAATTGATTTGTGTAGTACCTGATACTTCTTGTAACAGTGGACCACACATTAATTGATTTGTGTAGTACCTGATACTTCTTGTAACAGTGGACCACACATTAATTGATTTGTGTAGTACCTGATACTTCTTGTAACAGTGGACCACACATTAATTGATTTGTGTAGTACCTGATACTTCTTGTAACAGTGGACCACACATTAATTGATTTGTGTAGTACCTGATACTTCTTGTAACAGTGGACCACACATTAATTGATTTGTGTAGTACCTGATACTTCTTGTAACAGTGGACCACACATTAATTGATTTGTGTAGTACCTGATACTTCTTGTAACAGTGGACCACACATTAATTGATTTGTGTAGTACCTGATACTTCTTGTAACAGTGGACCACACATTAATTGATTTGTGTAGTACCTGATACTTCTTGTAACAGTGGACCACACATTAATTGATTTGTGTAGTACCTGATACTTCTTGTAACAGTGGACCACACATTAATTGATTTGTGTAGTACCTGATACTTCTTGTAACAGTGGACCACACATTAATTGATTTGTGTAGTACCTGATACTTCTTGTAACAGTGGACCACACATTAATTGATTTGTGTAGTACCTGATACTTCTTGTAACAGTGGACCACACATTAATTGATTTGTGTAGTACCTGATACTTCTTGTAACAGTGGACCACACATTAATTGATTTGTGTAGTACCTGATACTTCTTGTAACAGTGGACCACACATTAATTGATTTGTGTAGTACCTGATACTTCTTGTAACAGTGGACCACACATTAATTGATTTGTGTAGTACCTGATACTTCTTGTAACAGTGGACCACACATTAATTGATTTGTGTAGTACCTGATACTTCTTGTAACAGTGGACCACACATTAATTGATTTGTGTAGTACCTGATACTTCTTGTAACAGTGGACCACACATTAATTGATTTGTGTAGTACCTGATACTTCTTGTAACAGTGGACCACACATTAATTGATTTGTGTAGTACCTGATACTTCTTGTAACAGTGGACCACACATTAATTGATTTGTGTAGTACCTGATACTTCTTGTAACAGTGGACCACACATTAATTGATTTGTCTAGTACCTGATACTTATTGTAACAGTGGACCACACATTAATTGATTTTTCTAGGACCTGATACTTCTTGTAATAATGGACCACACATTAATTGATTTGTGTAGTACTCGATACTTCTTGTAACAGTGGACCACACATTAATTGATTTGTGTAGTACCTGATACTTCTTGTAACAGTGGACCACATAAGTGAATATTATAGAATAGTGTCTTCACCATTAGCAGTAGTATCACCATTTTCCAATATGGCTGCAGTAGTGATCCTCGGCCCAGTTTTGGTGTGATTATTTTTTATGGTTGGTGTTTTACCAGGACATTGAGAAAAGGCTCAAGAAGGGACAGAAGAGGCCATGGCTGATACACTTTGTGGAGGGCAATGCTGATCAGGACATCGAGTACAGGAAATTGCCAGGCATGCTCAGCGATATTCAGGTACAGTGGATGTATCAGAAAATAGGGAACGGCTACTGTCTGTTCCATATTTTATGTGTTAGAATTTGAAAAAATATGTATGAAGCATTTGATTACCTTTCCTATAATTCAGTTTTGCTTTTCAATGGAAAATCTTAAGGAAATTCCTCACGTTAAGGAATCCAATACCACTGCAAAAAAATGTAGTTATGAATTGGAAGGTTTTTTGCCGACCTTAAAGAAGCTTTAATGAAATATTTTTTAAAGAAACCCATACTTTGTAGAACTTTTGTGAAAAAAGCAATTATGGTGAAATGCTTAGCTGTCAACCCTCCCTCAATAGGAGGAAGGCTCCCTTGTCTTGATCAAAATTTACTTATCTTCTTCGAAACTCCCTCATTTAGGTCTATTAACTCATGCAAACTCAAAATCTACATCCTGTGGTCAAATGATCTCCTAGTTACTGAAGGGAGTGTTTAATGATCATAACAGGTGTGTCTGAATCAAATGAATGCTTTTTGGAGTTATTTTGAATCATAAAAAGGGAAAGATAAATTGAGCAAAGCAGTTACAGTCAGGTTTCGCACACTTTCTCCCTTATTGGAAATGTGAAAAGATAGGAAATCTCCCTCATTAGAGGTTTCAGAGGTTGACACCTATGGAAATGAAAATAGCCAACAACAGTATTCTGGGCGTAAAAATAAAACAGAGCTCGACCAGGATTGGAACCCTGGACCTCTGATCATTATACTGTCACTGTAACAAACTGTTCTACCTCGTCAACAAAAGTCGTCTGGTCCCACTACATTTATATCCTGAACAAAATCAAGGGGAGGCTACTGCTCTGATCATTATACTGTCACTCTAACCAACTGTTCTACCTAGTCAACAAAAGTCGTCTGGTCCCACTACATTTATATCCTAAACAAAATCAAGGGGAGGCTACTGTATGTATGTAAAACTTTAGTGGAACTCTCTAGTGTTTTGTTTCCAGTGGGACAGGGATCCTTAAGGAACGTTGGTACCAGGTCACATAAATATGTGTGTTTTTTGTGTATCTAGACTGTTGAGAATTTTACTTAACGAGGTGTTTACATGATTGTGTCATAGATTGGACGAGTTGACTGTCAGCTGATGAGGACGGAGTGTAATGATCTACATGTGATCAAGTTTCCAAGTTTCCTGGTATTTAAAGAGACCGGCGGATATGAGATCTACTATGGTAAGCTTGTTGTTTTCACAAATTCTATGTTTTCTTTTTAAGCTCACCTGCCTGAAAAGTTGAAATGAGCTTAATTTATGTCCTACATGTACCGTAAATTTGTTTAATGATCATACACTTTTTTGGGTAAATATTGTCATGTCAAAAAGGGGGTGCGCACTATACGCAGGAACAAGTCATTCTTGGGTTATCGTTCCCGAGTTTCTGGTCCGCCATATTGGATTACCTCCCTTCAAATAGTTTTATTTTGAGTCGTCGGTCATTATATGATAAGATTGAAGATTAAAATAACAACAAAGAATGGTGTTTTTTGGCAACACAATTTTGACCTTCTCTTAAATGATTAAAATCGGTAATCTGTGGTCATGACTGCTGATTTGGCGACAAACACTAGCTTGTCACGTAACATTTTTACAGGTAAGTTGACCGGAGGGCATACCGTCTGATCCCGGACAATAGGCTAGGTAGGATCGCCATGCTTCAGTGAAAATTATTGACACTTCTAACCACAGTTAAACAAATTACAATGCAGTAATTAGCTAACACTCTATCAGTGATTACCGATTAACAATAGCTCTACTGCAAATTAATTGAAATTACTTGCAGTCGCCATCAAGAACCGTAAAGGGATTATAAAAAATATTTTTATACTAGAAGCGTGGACGTTCAACACATCCCCTTCAAATCTACTCGAAGGAAATAAATAAAAGCAGAATACACTATTTTTATGATGCTTCATAATATTGAAATAATTCACAAGGTTATCGATCACGTCAACATGAAAGTGAGCCGGGGGAAAAATTGCACACTAGGCCTAACGATTTGGTAAAAAAACAAAAACAAACCAGAACTAACATGGAACGGAGCCTGTAATTGAAACACTACATTTTCGTAATTATTAGAAAACCGCTGAGATGTCGAAACATAAGTTGATCAGCGATTCTCTAGCATCGGAATTAGCTACACTTTCTTCGTTTGATTTCTGCAGGATTTGAAGCGGTATGGAGGGAGACCCTCATGGGCTTGTTGACTCTAATCTATCAATCATTAATTAATCGGCGTTATAAACACAAAGCTACCTTTGATGCTACTTTTCCACTTTGATACCGTTTAGATTTAGATTTTTTTTCCAAATTTCAAATCTGACCCCAAAAACGTACCTGCGCACTATACCCGCAAATTTACGGTAGTTGCCATTAAGGAATGAAATTATTTTTTTCAACATTCATGAGGTTATTTATGCATCGGGGGGGGGGGCAATACAGTAGAGAGAACAGTGTGTTTTGGCAGGAAAAATTTAAACTTTCGCTGGAGTTCCTAGCAATAGCATGACAATAAAACAAACAAAATATAGTTCCATTTTCAAAATTTAATTTGTAGAATTTATACAAGCCGTATATTATTATCATATATTTTACACACCTTATTTTAGCTTTGAAATCAAGCCAATCATGTTTAATGTTAATTCATATTGCCATAACAAAACTACATCGAGGGCTGTTTCACGGCGGACTTGAACAAAGTACGCCCTGTGCTACGTCAATGTTATGTATCAATACCCAATGATGGGGTCACCTGTGTTATGCAAAAATGAATGTCATTTTCGTCAATGGGTCCAAGCATACAGAATGTAAATATGTTGCTTTAATATATAAATATTCTGTTGAATGATCGATGTTTAAGATTGTTTGTATATAGATTGTGTATCACAATTAAGTCCTGTATGAGGTTTTCTTACACAACCAAAAATGATTTGGATTTATTTTTAATAACATTTTTCGACATTAATCTTTTAATAAATTATGACATTTGTGATATACACGTATAGATATGTATTTGTCCTTGACCTTGTTACCAGGTCGGATGACAGCCCATGATGTTGCAGCATTTGCACGTGACAGTGCAGTGGTCAAAGTGGAATCTCTAAGGAAGGAGGACTTCAGAGACCACAGAGTCGGACCAGACAGCTCAGACACATGGTTCGTCGACTTCTTTGCTCCGGTGAGTTTTCTTTTTGAATTCTTTGAAATATTCAAGACAGTTCCTTTATTAAAGGAATTTTTAAACTACACAAGACACATGTGACTTTTATATTTAAGAGAGATTTTTCAGTAAATGTCAGCAACAATGAAGCTTAAGGTCATTGGAGTGTATTGATAAACGGAAACAGGAAGTACATCCCTAGTTGAAAATCCAATGTAGGGAGACAGTATCACAATTTCCGCAAATTCTAAAGTTTAATATTAAACTGATAAATATTGTATGTTTATTATTGACAGAACAGTGTGTTCTCTCAATATTAAAGTATTTCAAAGCAATCCAGGCATTAATTCAGGTTTTTTTATCAATGAGTCACATGTGTCCATTTTTTCTTTACTTCAGGAAACCGGCTACCTATTTCACTACTGTGAAGTTTTCAAGAACGATAACTCTTACCTGCAATTACTATGTGTATATGGTTTTATTATAAAATGTCAATTTTTATATCGTGTATAGAGAATTAATTATACACAATTTCAGCATGTATTAAATTGATATACATTAATGCAATACTAATATATGTCAATATCATTTTTATTGACATTATCTTGTAAAAATATTGTGTCTTTCATTTTTTTTTCAAAATTCACTCCTTTTTACATAAATTTCCATTTAAAATCCTTAAAATTCTGACAACCTATATTTTTTTGGTGGCAGACATTTTCTTTACTTTGAAGCAATATAACTACAAAATTTGAAGGAATTCTACTGAGAAATGGTGACACAATCCTATTACCTTAAGTTTCCAAGTGCCTACACCAGGCGTCGAACCATGATTATAGACAACTTGTTAAGGAGGCTCCACCCTTTCACAATTAACCAGCAGAAGTCATTTCACATAATGGTTATGCAGCTATGTAGGGTTGATTTTATGAAAATCTAAGTATTCCGGTAGTTTTGGTCTATTTTAATATTTTCCATTTTTTTGGTGTGTGGCATTTTTCAGAACAATAACACCAAGAAAAAAAATGAAAAGAAGCATTGTTAATTAACCCTAAAAATATTTTATTTATCACAAAATATATAAAACATAAGCAAACAGGACACAAAGATTCATACAAAAAGATGGGAAAATTGAACAAAATATACACAATGGCTTCATAATTAATAAATTAATGGAATTTTTGCAAACTTTTTCAAAGGAATAAAAATTCACACAGATACAGTTATCTCTTTAAACATATATAAAAAAAAATTGAAATAAATCAAAATTATGATAGAAAAGGTGACAGTTTATTGTTCTTTTATAGGTCCAAATCACTCTCAATCATGTACACTTCAGACATCATTCCACAGCCTGCTATTTCATGATGTATTTACATGTGAGGTACATGTTTGATACCAGTGATATCAGTATAGTAGTAATAGTAGGCTGTATAACAGTTTATATCAAACAATCTTACTTGTCACATCACGTTATAGAACCTACATACATGCTAGCTAATGGTGATACCAGTATAGTAGTAATAATAGTAGGCTGTATTACAGTTTATATCAAACAAATCTTACTCGTCACATCACGTTAGAGAACCTACATACATGCTAGCTAATGGTGATACCAGTATAGTAGTAATAGTAGGCTGTATTACAGTTTATATCAAACACTCTTACTCGTCACATTACGTTAGAGAACCTACATACATGCTAGCTAATGGTGATACCAGTATTGTAGTAATAGTAGGCTGTATTACAGTTTATATCAAACAATCTTACTTGTCACATCACGTTAGAGAACCTACATACATGCTAGCTAATGGTGATACCAGTATAGTAGTAATAGTAGG